CTGAATTGGATTTAGAAACCACAGAATCTGCATCTTTAGAGAAGATCCTTGCATGTAAAGCAATCCCGAAGCCTGCAGTGTTTTCCATTGATTGTCTACAACCGTTTAGTTAATTGCTTTGTTCTCGACATTCCATTCTCCACATTCCTATTATTTTTCTTGGATTTAGATTTGGATTTGGGTTTAACTCCTTTGTTTAATTTTGTCCTTGTGTTCGACCCTAGCTACTACACACGATCCGTATACTTGCGGTTAATTGTTGAGTCTAGGATATTATAACTTGATCGAATTTATTCGCCTAGATTTCTGACATCAGCTGCGTACCTGCTGAATAGGAGTCCAATGAAGGTGGCTGAAACGACGCCATATGAGATATGGACGGGGAAGCGTCTCGTGTTGTCGTTTGTCAGAATTTGGGGTTGCGACGCTTACGTGAAGCGTCAGATGACTGATAAGTGTTTATTTGTAGGTTATCCTAAGGAAACTAAGGGTTATTACTTCTATATTCCGGCAGAGAACAAGGTGTTCATTGCTAGGAATGCGACTTTTATGGAGTGAGAGTTCGTCTCCAAAAGAGTCAGTGGGAGTAGGATCGAACTTGAGGAAGTTCGAGAGCAACAAGTAGACGCTGAGCCGAGTGAACAAGTTGAAGACGTTCAACCTGTTTCACTGCCAGTTGTGATTCAACCTTCGACTAGTAAACCTCGGAGATCAGGCAGGATTCGCCAAGAGCCTGTGAGATACGGATTTCTCGTGACTGGGAATGAGGAGCTCATGTTATTGGAACATGATGAACCTACCACATACCCAAAGGCTATGGCGAGTCCGGACTCCGAGAAATGACACGAGCCTATGAAGTCCGAGATGCAATCCATGTCAAACAACCAAGTATGGATTCTGGTTGATGCATCTGAAGGGATAAAACCCATCGGATGTAAGTGGATCTTCAAGAAGAAGACCGACATGGATGGCAACGTGCACACGTATAAGGCACGACTTGTGGCGAAGGGATTTCGTCAAATTCATGGTATTGACTATGATGAGACCTTTTCGCCTGTAGTTATGCTGAAGTCCATCACGATCCTGCTTGCCATAGCCGCATATTACGACTATGAGATATGGCAAATGGATGTCAAGATCGCGTTCCTTAACGGGAACCTGACTGAGGATGTGTACATGAGTAGTCATCCGGGTGTGACTGGAAACTAGCATCGGTGTAACCCTTTACAGCGAGCTCGTCTTCCGACCCATCGTATACCAAGAACACATCCTTAGTCCTTCTCAAGTACTTCAGGATGTTCTTGACGGCGATCCAATGTGACTCACCTGTAAAGGGTTACACCGGTGCTAGTTTCCAGTCAGACCCGGATGACTACAGATCGCAGTCTGGCTATGTTTTCTACTTGAACGGAGGCGCTGTTAGCTGGAAGAGTTCTAAGCAAGTAACTGTTGCAGATTCTACTACAAAAGCTGAGTATATTGCAGCGTCAGACGCAATAAAGGAAGCTGTTTGGATGAGGAAGTTTGTTGGCGACTTGGGTGTCATTCCTAGTGCTGATATCCCCATTGCTCTGTATTGTGACAACAATGGAGCAATCGCGCAAGCGAAAGAACCCAGATCCCATCAACGATCCAAACACATACTCAGACGATTTCACCTTATCAGGGAGATCATAGACAGAGGAGACGTGCACATTTGCAGAGTGTCGACAGATGACAACATTGCCTATCCGTTGATGAAGCCTCTCCCTTCGTCGAAGCATGAGGGTCATGTTAGGGATATGGGCATTAGATGTCTAGCAGTACATGATTAGAGCAAGCGGGATATTGTTGGTTTAGTGCTCTATGATGCACTGTTCATGACCTTTATTTAGATACATTCGATGTATTGATACTTTCTATGGTTTTATGAGAGTATTTGATTCATTACATGTTCTTGCATACTAGATCTGTTATGAAATCCATGTATCATTATGAATGATACTAAACTCCCTAGTCATGTATCATTGTGGGAATAATGATATACCTGAAATCCATGTATTGTTATGAACAATACTAAACTCCCTAGTCATGTATCATTGTGGGAATAATGATATACTAAGACTAGTATGATGTGTGATTGATGATCATATAGATGATCATAGGTATTGGATACGATCACAGTCATAGGTATTCGTTGGAGAACGGAATACTGGATTGACCCGCATGAGATTGTCACATGGACTAGCGTCATGACTTGAATCTCATATGGCGGTTCCATGATTGGATCCTTAGACCTGAGATATCTACGGAATCCAACATGAGGAGTTGTGTGCTTCGAATACGTCAAACGTCCTGCGTAACAAGAGGACTATAAAGGCGTGTATCAGGTACGAAACGAATCATCTGCTGGATTGTAGATAGTCAAGACGAGATTTGTACCTGTCGTAAAAGAGAGATATCGTTGGGCCCCTCGTGTGAGCGAGACTGTATAAATGGTTGGCCGCACTATAGATGAACGTCGTCTATTTCAGACAGTCGAACTTAGTGAACGAGAAAGCAGCCGAATCAGATAAGGTGGCTTGTCCATGCCTTATGTTCGACATATGATATCGCGATGCAAAAGGATCATCAACCGGAATCATCACTAGCGTTCGTAAGATCACGAACAAACTCTATTCGAGATAGATAGTCATAGTGTCTTGTTAGAGACCGCCTATGACTTGTATATCCGAAATAGGGATTTCGGATTATATTGCTATATCGAATGAGCCTACAGGGTCACACACACAGGGAAGGACAAAACACACGAGAAAATGACGGAAAAACCGAGACGGAAGGGGCTGGAACGGACGGACTGAAAGGGCCAGACCCGACTGTCCGCCAGGTCCAGACCCGACGGTCCACAGAAGGCAGACCGTCCGTTCTAGCTTGTCTGGAACTGACGGTCCACGTGCATTCCTGGACCGTCCGTTCCGGCTTCCGGGTTTTCAAAAATTAGACCGAATTAGGGTTAAATCACCTTATAAGAAGAAGATTAAAACCCTAATTGATGGGGAGACTTTTTGAGCCGTCTTTGGTAGAATTCTAAGAGCTTTTGGTGAGATCCAAAGAGTTCAAGGATTTCTAAGTCTTGTTTTCTCGAAGCGCGAAACCGAATAGTTGATTCGGGTCCTAGCAGACAAGTTCCAATCGTTGGAATCCATCCCGAGGTGTGGATACGTGTAGAGGGCGAGGTATTCTTCCTCCCTTTCGTGATCAGACGAGTTCTTCAATTGATACAGACCCCGGATCGATTGAGGTAAGCGTTCTAACGTTTCTACGATTCATAAAAGCATGGTTCTAGGGTTTCATTCAAATTTTGTTTTATATCCGCTGCGCAAACCCTAGAATCGATCTCTTAGGAATAGGATTCGCTCTAGAGATCCCAGGAATCCCATCACAAATCGGGTCAGAAATTTGGGAGTACGTCTCAAGGCTCTCGTCCTGACTATGTCAAACTGGAGCGTTCGTTGCCTCACCCTACCAACGAACCGAAGAGCGATGTGTCCAAGCACAAGAACACACATACGGGTAACACTAATCCTCCTCTCCGAACTCGTGATATTAAGTGTTACAAATGTTTGGACAATGGGCATTTTGCGAGGGAATGTCCAAACCGAAGGACAATGGTGATACGGACCAATGGTGAGTTGGTTTCCGACGATGATGAGGTCGATGACCCTCAACCAGCGAAAGTTGTGGACGATGATTATGCTAGTGATGGGATGGATCAGTTTCCTGCCAAAGGAGAGCTTTTGGTAGCAAGGAGAGCTCTCAACATTAATGCAAAGGAGGAAACATATGAGCAGCGCGAGAATATATTCCACACTCGTGCCTATGTCCAAGGCAAGGTATGTATTCTCATCATAGACGGTGGAAGCTGCACTAATGTGGCTAGCACATCACTTGTAGAGAAGCTGAACTTGTCCACTACGAAACACCCAAGACCTTATAAGCTACAATGGCTTAATGATAGTGGAGAGACACGGGTATTCAAGCAAGTTCGAGTGCCTTTTCGCATTGGTAAGTATGAAGATGAGGTACTTTGCGATGTAGTACCGATGCAGGCAGGTCATATGCTTCTTGGTAGGCCATGGCAATTTGACATGCGAGCTACCCATGATGGTTATACCAACCGCTACACATTTGAGTACCATGGGAAACCGATGCGACTAGTACCTCTTACTCATAAAGAGTTATGCGAAGATCAATTGCGAATGCTCAAGAACGAGAAGAAGCATGGGATGAGTGAATCCAAGAGTGATACACCAAAAGATCGAGAGTTCTTGAGTGAAACCCAGAAAAAGGCCTATGAGAGCAAACCCGAGAGCTCAAATACACTACTTCTTTCGAGAGGGAGAGATATCAAGAAAGCATTGCTTTCTAGCCGACCGATGATTGTACTTATGTACAAGGAGGTCTTGTTTACTGACGAGTTACAATCTACTCTTCCTCGTGATGTCTTTGATGTTTTGCAGGATTTTCATGACGTGTTTCCAGATGAGACACCCCATCGTTTACCTCCACTTAGAGGTATCGAACATCAGATAGACTTCATTCCAGGAGCGAGCATACCGAACAAACCGACTTACCGAACGAACCCCGAGGAGACGAAGGACCTACAACGACAGGTCACAGGGCTCATGGAGAAGGGGTATGTGTGGGAAAGCATGTCATCTTGCGCGGTACCTGTCATTCTTGTGCCTAAGAAGGACGACTCTTGGAAGATGTGTGTTGATTGTCGCGCAATCAACAATATCACGGTGAAGTATCGCTATCCCATTCCTAGGCTAGATGACATGTTAGATGAGTTGCATGGTTCTAGAGTGTTCTCTAAGATAGGTCTTAACAGCGGATACCATCAGATTAGGATGCGTAAGGGAGATGAATGGAAGACTGCATTTAAGACTAAGTTAGGATTATATGAGTGGTTAGTCATGCTATTTGGACTCACTAATGCACCTAGTACTTTTATGCGATTGATGAACCATGTGCTTAGAAAGTTCATTGGGAGATTTGTTGTTTATTTTGACGACATCTTGGTATACAGCAAATCGACTATCGACCATGTAGATCATCTTAAGGTTGTCTTAGATGTTCTCAGAGAGGAGAAACTCTTTGCGAATCTTAAGAAATGCATGTTTTGTACTAACAAGCTTGTGTTCCTAGGATTCGTCATGAGTGAACGGGCATACAGTGTTGAAGTAGGAAAATGAATATATAATGGGAACTAAGCTGCTGTTTTCTACAACTTGTCACCCACAGACTGATGGCCAGACTGAGGTAGTTAATAGAACACTGTCCACGTTGCTTAGGGCATTGATTAGCACGAATCTTAAAACGTGGGAGAACTGTTTACCTCATGTAGAATTTGCATATAATCGATCTGTGCATAGTGCTACTCGTTATTCTCCGTTTGAAATCGTGTATGGATTTAATCCGACGACTCCATTGGATTTAAGTCCATTACCT